ACACACACACACACACACACACACACACACACACACACACACACACAGCGCTGCAGCCAGAAATCCTCAGTGGAGCATCAATGTGGATTCATCCGCCGCTAAAGAAATAGCCCCCATAACATGCACTATTGTCTCCCGTTTAAGTCATGTTCTGTATTAAGAGTGTTGGGAAAAAATCTAAATGACTAATTAGTATGCGTTTAAATGATTAAGGAATGTTATACATTTAACAGAGGCTCATGTCCTCTGTAGTGTTTAAGGCCTGTGTCCTTGTGTGAACTTTCACTGACACCAGGCATCCTCAGCAGATGTTTAGTCTATTAAGAAGCAGTTGATTGCCACTTCAAAGAACACTTCAGCTGTTTGTCCTGAATAACAATGATAATAAATGTGTAGAAAGCGTCAATACTTACGCAGGGCTGATTTGCGACCATGACTTACGAGAAAGTGACCTTTGTTCTGGAACGAATTGTTAGTGTCCAGATACGTAGACGCCTGTGTGAAACGCAAAATGTGTGTGTGTGTTGCCCTGTGCCAGCCCACTGCATGTTGTTTACCTAGTATAAATACCAGAGACTCAGAGACAGATCTTCGAGCAGCCTTGATGTACATTCTGTATGTGAATCAACCCTGTCTCCTTCTTTGCAAAGAATAAATAGCCAATGATTGATGATTTTTACACCAGTCTCGAGTGAATTTTTCTAACAAAGAGATTTTTGTCTTTTCATGGGGAAAGCTGACAAGAGAAACATTGTAAATGATCATCGGCCGTATCTTTCACAGTCACATAGGATCAGACGATCAAAGCATTCTCGTCTCAACCACAAATATCATAAACTCACTCAAACAGAACCACTGCAAATGACTGCACCAGTCTGTAGAAGGTGGCTTCACTCACACGTTTAGAGTGGCAGCGCTGTGAACACAGGAGGACAGAGAGTTAAAGACAACATCAGATAAATGACACACATAAAACCTCACACTGCAGCTCATTCTATGAGATATTTCAGTTTGATTTCCTGCTGTCATGTTGGTCATTTCGTCATTTGAATATGTGAGTTTATGTATGTAGGGGGTCCAACAAGAACCTGTCATTCTTTGCATTTGGAATATTGCAGTTATTTTTCCTTAAAGGTCAAGTATGACATCTCACTAGTTCATCATATTTACCTGTGCGCTGACGTGTTTGGCAAACCACTCCCTGCCTTTGCCGTTCTCTCCACTGCACAGCTCTCCAAAATGAGCCTTCTCTTCCTGGTCAAAGTCCTCCCTGTGAAGACACGGTCCATAAACTCATCACAGCATGGCTCTACAGACCCTGTGCGTCACAGCTGGCTTTATTAACTTAGTCATTTATCAGATGGATTGGACTATTCAGAAAATGGCATGGATATTACAAATCATTATTAAATCAAGTTTGAATTGATAGTAAATGATCAAAGTGTGAAAAAATAAATAAGAAAAAGCATGCACAATTTGAAATACCAAATCAATTCTGTATTGTTAGCAATGTCAAAATGTGCAGTTGAGTTACAGCTCAGCAGTGGCACACCTTGTTTTTATACCACCAAGCTAAGCTCCAAGCACCAAACTGATATTCCAGAGAATTTTTAAAGAAATAGTTCAATTATTTTTCCCAGAGGATCCGTCATTTCCTTGTATCGCATTCATTGTCTGTGTAAACAGACTCATTTGCATAATATTGAGGTGTAGGTTGCTATATGTCCAGCGTGACATGCCACCTTTTAAACCAACCGTTGTGGATGTCAAATGAAGAAAGATTCAGCAACTGCACCGCTTACTTCACGCCTCAAATGTTTTCAGGAACACATTTCAGTAAAAAAACATTTGCAATATAAGAAAAGGTTTCCAAAACATTTACTGTATATAAGAAGTGGACGAAGTCATGGTGACATCACTCATTGGTTTGTGAACTACGGCTTTGAAGCCCCAACTTTGGCACTCTGTCGCCATCTTGTTTTTTTGCAACCAGAAGTGACACGATAGGAAACTGTGAAAGTGTTTAAAGTTCTAGACGAAAACACGGACAACTCCCAGACCGGACAACAATCACTGTGTAGCCCCGCCCTAAAGCATCCCCTGCTTTATGGTCTGTGTGACTCTAAATGGACCATAATGTACTAAATGAACATCATGCTGTATTGAAGAAGACTTGCAACTAGAGATTGAGAGGTTCTCTTTGTTGGTCAGTAGTAATTATTTTATACACCATTTTGTATTGTTCTGTTTTCAGGGAAGGAGAACACCTGTCAATCATATATCATGAGATCGCCTAGTGGCACGCCCATCAAGCGTGCAATGCTGGGAAGCGGTGCAACCCCTCGCGTCCAAAAACACCTCCACAGAGCAATGAACTAGAACCTGGCTGATAAGCTAGTCACGGTGTCATGGCACTTTGTAAAGAATGGTAAAGGATGGATGTATCATTCCCTCCATCCTTTATTGCTGACATGCAAAGCAAAGGAATTGTGAGGGTTCACGGTTTTCTGTGAGGGCTTCAGTGTAGAGCAGAGACTCGGGCGCAGACACAGACACAGGAAACAAGGTGAGGTAGAATGCAAGGTTCTTTACACCAAGCAGTCAAGAACAGGAACTAAAATCAACTCTAACAGGGAGTGTGAAAAAATCCAAACAGAAATAAAAGGCAAAGTCTCAAAAAAGGGCAAAGTCACAAACCATGGGACGGAGACGGTCAACACGAGGGACAAACACTGGAGACACGAGGAGCCCACGGGGAGGAACAAGGCCGAAACATGAAGCACCCCGGGGGAATGACAAATGACAATCTGACAACTGGAGCAGGGCAAGCATGAGAGTATAAGTATGTGTGGGGTGATGAGAAGATTGCAGGCAGGTGAGTTGAGATGAGTGGGGTTAGTAGAGGAAAAAGCCAGGGGCAGGTGATTGGGCACAGGTGAAGAGAATGAGCACGATCAGGACAACCGCGGAGAGATGAAAAGACTACAAACAGGTGGAATGCAAGAAAGCACATGGTGTTGCTACTGGCCGTCTCACACAATGAAGACGGTTAGGAATCTAGAAGACTCCAGTCATAACTGATCACTGGACTGTCTTACAGAAGGTAAAAAGGACAAAGGCAAAGCAAGAGATTCATTCTTTTAGACAAGATGGATTATGACATTACAGAAGTCGGTTTACCATCTGTAGGTCACTGTCCAAAGGCCAACGGATGGCAAATTACCCAACAGAGAACCAGAACTCAGCACGGTCAGAAATGATTAGGCCTGCAGCAAAAATGCCTGAGAAAAGATATATATAAATGTCTGTGAAATGAAAAACAAGAGGTAGCCTGATATCTAGAAGTTCACCCTGCTCATATTTGATTTCTTATCAAATACTCATGCGTCCGTTTGACTGCTGTTTCCCTGGGCCTCTGCTGGGGAGTCATGGGAATCTCTGACCGGGTGAAGGCTTCAAGTCATTCTGAGTGACAAAATTGTTGCATCTGAATGTAAATACACAGCCTAAAGCAGAACAAATGACCACACAGTCAGCAAGAGTGAAACAGTTGTGACACAACAAATGACTGTGTGCTGAGGAGCTATATCAAGGTCATTGATGCCAAAGGGTTCACGTTGTCTGAGCCGGGACTTCTTACGGGCAGACGGGAACACCAGATCCATCTCAGACAATACTTAGCACTCTCTGAGATGAGCAACTGAGGGGCTGCCTGCCATCCAGCCACACAACACCAACTACTCCAGTGTCCCTGAGGGAAGAGCGTCTGCTGTCTCTATGAGCTGCTCTGGACCGTCTCTATACTGTAGTCCCTGTGCTGCTCAACTCTGGAGAAGAGCAGCAACTATTGATTACGATCATTAAAAGAGTACTCCATCAGGTTAGCACGTAGGCTAGTTCTCCAATACTGGAAAAAAGACAACCGCCCAGTTACACTTGTTGGTTGAGAGATGTCCAACAGCAGCTAGAACTAGAGAAACTCAGGTCTGAACTCCGTGGCTCTGCAGACTAACTTGAGAAAACGTTGCATTCCTTCCTGGACAACACTGAATCCAAGCTTTAAATCTCCTCATATGTAAATTGCAGAGCTAGTCATTGTCATCTTTTGGACGTACCACATTAATGAGTTTTCAAGTAGAATTCATAAGCAGCTTCAATCATAATTCATATTTTGACTGATATTCATCAATCTGTACATCTGCAAGTTCTTTAAGCAATATTGACAATAATGAGTCACTGATGCTCATTACTGTTGGGAAGATTGTACATCCGCAACAACTTGATATCTTTTTGTTTTGTCAGAGAAAGAATGTGCCATTTAATCTGTAAAAAGAGAAATGTCTGCTTTAAAACCCCTTTGTGCACAGTTTTGTAGAAAAGTGATTGTAGCATCTTTCAAATGACTCTGTTGGCATAAGCTTATGTTTGTAGAAAAATAATAAAATGATGGTGAATATTGGCTCAGTCTATTTTCTAGGAGTTGCCAGAGTGGAAGTTTTTTGAAATTGTCACATAGGGGCTTTCGATGAGTCAATCATGTTGCTTTTGACAGATGCTTTTGATTCTTTTTAGTACATGCATGTGAAAAAGAGATCTTCCTTACTTTCCATGAAACACCTTCTCCACATAAGCCTTCATGAACTGCCTCCTCTCCACCGTCTCACTGTCGGCGTCCTCTCCACTGTGAGCGGATGAAGAGGACGACCTCCTCAGCTCCCACGTGTGAGAGGGCGGGTCCATGTCGTTCTCGCTGTCTGCCGACTCTGTAGCATCGCTGTCGTTGTCTCCTCCCTCTTGGTGGTGGTGGTGCTGGTGGCGAGTACTGGGCTTGGTTGGCGCCATGGGCTCTGGCAGTAAAGGCTGCTGGTGGACTCCCATGGAGGGGGCCTGCTCTGGGGAGAAAATGTCAGTATGGCCGTGGTGTTGGCCTCCATCTATGCTGAGAGCTGTGGCCTCGGAGGGCAGATCAAAGTCTATTAGGTTGTCCACTGCTACAGCCTCCATGTTGGACACAGGTCCCTTTCTCTTCGCTCTGCAACAGTGTTTTCAGAATGAGCTAGTCTGCGCTCTGCAGGAACATGAGGGGGGGTCAGAGATGTGGGTGCTAGTTGGAGGTCTCGACTGTTGTTATTGGGTTTGGATTTTGCAGACCCCACATCCCTGAGGGTGCCGACATCAAGTGAACTCACGAACCCAATTCATCTGCGAAGAAAGGAAGGCAAACGCTAGCTTTGTGATCACCTTTTACATTCAGTTACACATGTAATAGACCTGAAGGCAGTGAGAGGTACGCCTCGGAGTCTACAGCCATGCTAACAAGCTGAGCGCTAACATCAGCATGCTAACATGCAGACGTGCTGCTGTTGAACATGCTGGCTCCCTGGGCTACTTCATACTGGAACAGAGCCATCATTGACGTTATTGGGGCTTTCCCCACAGCCTGGTAATCACACTGAATAGACGGTGGGCACTCTGTCAGCCACAGTAGAAAAAGCACAGGTGTTACGTTACTGTTGGCCGCATTCCATTTAGCTAATCCAGTTCCAGGGTCCTGGTCTTGTGCATACTTGGACATCTAATGGAACTGAATAATCAATAATGTTATTTGGGATATTGATATTGGGCCAATAGTGACTCAAATAGCTGGATCGGTTATCGGTGACTATGGGGCTGATCTATTCAATTAAATCATGTGATCATATTCTATATAAATTATTATTGGAATTTGAATTCCTGTTTAAATATTGTGGTTGGGAATTAGAATGATACATGATGGCCTGGTGGCACATTGCATATTACTGCTACGATAAGTCTAAATATCTGCTGTGAGTTCTACGGCCATTTAGATTCACTAAAGAGTTTGACCTTGTGTTTGTGTTGGAATGCTTGATATCTTGTCTCGTTTGGCTCTAAGCACTCAGCAGTGACTAACGTATCTGTCCTTTCCATTAGAAGCACCAAAGAGCTATTATTTCGGTACGTTGACTTCAAACAACCTGTACAGCTGCCGTTATCTCATCAGCTCATGTCACCATCTTCAGGCTTTTGCACAGGACGAATGACCCCCCCACTCTGAATCCCACAGAGCTCTGACTGGTTGGAAACATTGTTATTGAAACATTGTTAATGAAACAAAGTTCAATAATGAATTCAAAAGTATTGTATTGCACACTTTTATCTTGAAAGTACTGCTATATGAACAACAGGGCAATAACATTTGGTTTAAATACTTTAAAACACATCAGGTTCTTGTTAACAGCAGTATTCTCTTTACACAGCAGCAGTTATAACACAGTTATAATGATTCTGATCATAGATATTCAGCCGGTGTTCACAACTTTATCTTCATGTGTGTAAGAGATGCAATTTAAATATACACCTTGAAAACTGTAAACCCATCTACGTCATGTTTTTATGTTTGTTAAATTCTCAGTAGTGATACTAAATGATGCTTATTATACATATTACAAACAAAACACTTTAAAAACGCGCGATTAAATAATTGTCGGCGTAATTAATGAATGCGTTATATAACGCATTAACTTGCCCAGCACTAGTGTATATATATATATATATATATATATCCCAGGGCAGCTTTAAACCTGTACGTTGTATGCTAGTGGTTATGAAATCTCAAGTGACGGTTTAATAAGCAAACTAGTTCCTGTTTATTCAGAAGTCAGCATTGATATCATGCAGATAACAGTTGGATTGAAAACCACAAAGACAGGAAGCTCAAATCTTAAACTTCATATCTGATCAAACAAGTTCCCGTGTGCTGCACCTCTGTCCAGCTATTGTGTCAGTCAAACAGCACTGTACTCGACGTTGGTCTGATCTTAACCCCATGAGCCAATCACAGCACGGTCTCATACTGCTGGCTCCCACACGGGCCTCTTTAGCCCCACCCCCGGCCCTCATACACACATCCTGCTCCGTCTTTGAGCTGATCTGCTGCAGCAGCCCCTCTATCGGCATCTGCTCCTCTGACCCCACACAGTTTGTGCCGTCAGCTTTAAACAGCCTGGCACACTTGTTGGTTTCGGAGTGTCTGACAGACCATGAAGGCAAAATTCTTTATATAGAGGTCAATAAAGAATGAATTGAAATATGCTTCAGCGGCTGGCTCTACTGCAAACCAGGCCTTCTCTGCTCGGCTTGTTCTGGTTTTGATGACCTCAAGATTTGTTTCCATTTAAAAAGGTCCTGAAAACATTTTGTCACCGAGTTTTTTACTTTGAGCAAGTCTTCCATGAAGACACAGGTGTGGTTATGAAACATGAGAGATGTCTGTGTTTCTGTTTCTCTCTGTGCTCCCCTCACTGGTTTCACAATCTGAAGGGTTCTTTGGTCACCGTCAAACAAATCGGTCAAACCACACCCACACAGTGCTGACCAAGCAGATTAGCCCAGTTAAAGGGTTTTATATTCATAGATTTGTTGCTTATAAAGTTTAAATATGAACATCAATCTTGTAGATTATCTATATACTTAAGATTTGAAGGCAAGTGTTCAGGGGCTGTAAAGCCTGTCCTAAACTCCAAAGAGACAGAATGTATGTCAAGAGACACCTACCGAACACCTCGCTCAAAGAGGAAACAATCACATTAGATTCTCGTACAACTGAGCATGAGAAAAACATACACACTACATATGTCAACACTTGATAATGTAGAAACTGTGAATACCCTTGTAGTCCCAATGAAAGCTGAGGTGAGAGCGTCTTTAGCTTGTGTACTGCCAGTGTTCCCCAGTGAAATGGAATATTTGAAAGGTGTACAGTTACAATGGAATCCTTTGTATTTGATTGGACGGCTGAATGAATGGCTGGTTAGTATGTAGTGCAATAGAGTGCTGCAGGGAGGACATACGTTGGATGTCTAGCAGGAAGTTAGCATCGCACTGGTTCCCTCGACTAAAAGACAACGAGACTGTTGCCAGTTGTCATTCTGGATTATTGCAGATAATAATAATCTCTGTGGCAAACAAATGATTATGATACGTACCCATTTGTTATAATCTTCACAATTGAGCAACACTTATGATTTCTGAAGCATGAATGAAATCAGCAGAAGTAACAAGCTAACGTTATAGGAACTCCACCACGGTCACATGACTTCAGGTCTGCACCACTAAGCTAAAGGAGGACTAGTGTTCTAGTGAGGTTTTTATTTCATGATTTCTTCAGGCATCTAACCAAAAACCCATTAAAAAAATAAACATCGAGTTTGAGACGAGGCAACTAGATGATTCACGTGTGTGTTTGAGGACTCATTCCTGCAGGAGACTGTGGCTCCACACACACATCCATGCCATCAACATGCTGCTTGGTTGATTAATGCATGTCATGATATTATTAGTTGAAATTGATCAGTAAGCACACGTCATATTTTGTTTTACTGGAAGACAAGATGAATGATTTTCATATAAAAATACAAATGATTAAAACTTCTTTTGCATTATTGTTAAATAGGAACACAATATGAGCCGGGAGGCATTAAACCACTGGAGGCCGTTCAATTCATTACTCAACAGCTGTCAAAGTTATGTGATGCTCATCACTGACATCTACAAGGCATCAACATGTTTCTCTCTTCCGATCACTCAAAGCTCTTTAACACTACATGTCGTCATCATTCACCCATTCACACACATTCATACACTGATGAGGAGCTACCATGCAAGGTGCCACCTGTTCATCAGGACTATGTCATCATTAGAACCCACTCATACATTCATACTGTGGGACAGCCCGAGGGAGCCACTTGGGGTTAAGTGTCTTGCCCAAGGACACATCGACATGGACTAGCGGAGCCGGGAATCGAACCGCCGATCCTCTGATTGAAGGACGACCCTGCTCTACTGAGCAGAGGGTCGTATCAAATTATTCAGCTTAAACGCCAAAGACAAGATATTGAGTGAAGCACAGAAACCCGGCCTCTGTTCTGGGAGGATTTGTGCAAATGTTTTAGATCACTTGTAAGATTCTCAGCGTATTGCGAAGAGGTGGCAGTCAGAGCTCCACGTTACGGATTCAAATGAGGAAGAGGAAAGAAGAAGGCCGTGATACGCCACGTGTTAGAGGCTCAACTGTGTTAGAACTGACTGATACGTCTTCTGTGAGTGTGATGACAGCTTCGTGTGACTGAACGGTCTTGTATATGTACAATTTGTTTGAACAGACATCTTGATCTTAATAAGACTTCCTGAATAAATAAAGCCTATGTTTGTCATGTTGAGGAGGCAGAGTGAGATCTCAGCAGTAAAGCTGAGCATATGGCCCCCAGTTCAACAGTCTCACTGGCGATACTGAAGGTGTAAAACGTTGCCGGTCACGTGGAGTTCTGAGTCAAGCTGAGCCAGCAGAGCCTCTCAGTAAGTCGTGACTCCCTGTGTTCTTTCCCTCAGACCGCTGCAGTATTTCTGCTTCCATGAGCCAGAAGGGGAGCCCCCACTACACACCCCTCCTCCGACACAAACACAGAGCTCGGAGGGAGGGGCTTCTCTTGTGATGGAGGACACTGAGAAGCTTGAGTGATTTGGTGCAGAGGACCTCTGCTTGTTGCTATTGGCCGTGCAAGACGACGGCATCACGAGACCCCGTCCTGCCCTCTTATTTCTCCTCTTCAGTGTGTGCTGCAACTTGGCATGATTCACACATTAAGCAACATGCCCCCGAGCCCTCTCCCATCCCCCAGGAAATATCAGTCAGCACACTCGTCCGCAAAAACATCAGTTGGGCAAGATAAGAGGGAAGGCGCCATCCCCCTTGTGTTGTTTTCACGGTTCACCCGTCTCCATCACTCCGGCTTTATGAACAACATGCAGCAAATGCAAAGCAGTAAATCAGCTTCCATGTCAGATGCATTATTACATATTATAGAATATTAATTCAGCATGGGGCCGACGTGCCTTCGGAGTCCCCTTCTCAAGCCGCTAGTCCGTTACCAAAATGCTCTCTCAAGCATTCCCGAACAAAGCTCAACCTGATGGAGGTGGCAAGTAATACCCAGCGTGGGACTTTCCTGACCCACAATCCTTTGGCTTCCTTGTGTAATTTGAGAGGGCAAGTTGTTCAGTATTCTCATTAACATATCTACTGGGATGCCTCACTCACCACAACAGAAACAATGACAACATTCTTTGTCTTGTTTTTTAACTTTGGATGGATATGATCAGAGAGATGGTAACAAGGCTGTTTC